GTTCAATCATGAATAGTAGTGCGAGTCGAAAACAAGCGTTAAAGCCTTTAATATGTCTTCAAATATAAATAAACATCTCGTTGATATTTTTAGTAGTAATTGGTACCAATAACAGCACGTTTGAGCAATACAATTGTACTGGATAAAATGGTCAATTTTTCCGTGCAGTACTGTACGGATTATACGCTCCTCACCGGTTAAGAGTTTGGCAGAGAGTAGTCTCCTTTCTTTTCTGGCCTAGTGCTCTTCTTATTTACTTTGCGCTGGTCAAACTAAAGTTCACATCGCTAGAGAAACTAAACGAAGTATACCAATGAATCAGAAATCAAATACTTTTTTACCAGTCAGTAAAATATCTAATCAGCAGATTGACCGTCTGTGTGCGAGGAGCTTAATAAATCGTTATCAGCAATTTCCTTTTGATGCAAGAGAATCATCTTTTATTTTTATTTGGTCAGAAAAAGCTTTAGCCTTTGTATGAATTGCTCAAATATTTAATACCTGATTTTTGTTAAACATGTAGAGAATAGAGAGATCCAACATATTTTTAAGAAGGACTCTGTCTATTACATAATTCAACAAATTCTATATTTTGAATATTTACTGATCGTGAGACAGATACTTCTGCTATTTGTGGTATGGAAAGTTTATTAGATAATCATTTAGCTTAACAAATACCAATGAACTTATGTCGTTTCTTATCAAGTCGCCCTGTCTATTAGCAAATAAAACTTTATTTTTTTCTTAACTCAAATAGGTAGCAATGTTTCCTGATCCAATAAAGCTGTGTGTCATGTCAGACTGTGTATTTTTATAATTTGGAGCGATAAATTTAAACTTTCGGTCGAAAGCACGCGGCGCAACATAACGTTCGAAACTGTTCCAGTGAAAACGAACGAGAAATGGCGCGAGGCGATGCGACGTGACGCGGTGCGGCATGGCGCAACGAACGGCTCGACGACCACTTACGGTTGGAAAATATGCAAAGCAAAAATGCAAATGTGGAGTGAGGGATGACGATGGTTACGATACGGCGCAACGGACGCGAGCGCTACGCTCAAAGTAAATTCGACGTTCAGTAGCAGCTGACGAGAGGTCGCATATATTTTCCGGATAGCCATCAGTCAAACCCAGGCACAACTCAACTATTTTTTAGCTGTTGCAACAAGAACTGCCGTCGCATTTTTCATTGTTATTTATGTGGAAAAGAGTGATACTGTAAAAGCAGAGCAATGGCCAAAAAAAATCAAAACTCGGATAGGCATGATAAACGGACACGATTGGACAAATTAAAAGTAGGGTTATAGCGTGATTAAATGGAAACCAAATGGACACCCAAATCACTGTTCTACTATTTAAATTAATCAGTTTCAATAAATTGCCGTTATTCAAAAAATTTGCAATTTTAAATAAAAGAGGAGGCATAAGTATGGTTTACATCGTGGTTATAGTAGTTTGAGAGACAATTAGGGCTGAATGAATACTAAATTTTCGCGGATACGCTATCAAAATTATATGTATAACGCAGAAATACAGTTGAAAATAATATTCTCTTGGAAGTATGTCAGTGGTCTAGAAAAAGTAAAACCTCTCGGCTTGTATTTATTACAATGGTGGTAGGTCCTCGACTAGTGGAGACCCAGATATCTATTCAGCATATTTCGTAAAAGCCCTACTTCTATTTTATGAGCCTCTAGCTATGCTGTTTACTCAGGGCGAATCTTGGGTATGCTTACCAAATTGTTTGATAAGACTGTCGCGAATAAATTGTCTGTTGGAATTGTTGATGGTGAATGAGAAACATGACCTTAGGCGTGGTAGCTCGACTATCACTAATTTGTTGTTCCNAAGAACATCGGTAATTTCATTCCAGTGTCTTCCTCAGTCAAAATAACTGTTTACGAGACGATGGAGCTCAAGTAATTAAGTACGGCGCGCAATGTTTACGTTTAATTTTCTATACTCGTCGACTGTTTCAGCAGATTGTAAACGTTAGATAGTGAAAAAGTAATTAATTTGAACAGTTTAAGATCCAATCTAAATTTGCCACTGATAAAGAGAATAACAAATGCTATTACAAATAAATGTTTCATTGTCTTCTCTAAATTTATTCGAAGGTCGAAGGGCGGACAACTCTGTTAAGATTTTAACACTGTCCGTAAAATCCAATTATTTAAAAAAACTTTAAGTTTGCACCATATAAAACTGCAGAGTGGAAATACAAATCAAAACCAACAGAAACGTATATGCAATACATATACAGTACAGCGTAGACGCGATCTGCTGACAATTTGTTGAAATTTTAATTTTGTGGCTTCTAAAGTCTGTTTAAATGATTCCTTTTGGACATATCCACCAGGGGTCACACGTGGCGCGTGACGCGTGATGTTACGCTTCTCGGTTTTATACCCTAGTAAATTTCCTTACTACCGTGAGAAAAAGAAGTTTCACTTCAAATATGTATTTAGCCAATTTTTAGTTTTCCGACCAAAAGAAAGAATTTCGTTAATGTAGACCGTGGCGCGTGACGCGTGATGTTACGCTTCTCGGTTTTATACCCTAGTAAATTTCCTTACTACCGTGAGAAAAAGAAGTTTCACTTCAAAAATGTCGTTAATTAAATGTCTCTAGCCAATTTTTAGTTTTTGCGACCAAAAGGAACAATTTCGTTAATGTAAAACGTTTTAGATTTTATTTAGTGATCGATGACTTGAATGTTTCAATTCAGCTGTGCACNCTCCATTGTCTTTTTTCTCCTTTTGTTCTTTGCCGTATTGATTGCTGAAAGTTGTTAGTCCTTTCTGTTTTCGGTATAGTTAAACATATTTATTTTCTATAAATTATGGGCTTTAGGGCTTAAAGATTAGTTCCGCAAAAGTAATGAAATGGTCATAAATAAGTGCATCAAATACGTGTCAGGTAATTAATTTTTTTTGTGATAAATACAGATAGTGGTAGTTCAGAATCTCATGAATCTTGACCTAGAGCAGTGACAAAACTTCTCCCGTTCATTGATTTACACATTTCTTCCTCTTAAAAACATTGGTCACCACTGTTTACAGTTTATATGTAGCTACCTCAAGTTCTCGTTCATTTAATGACTCATGAGATTTTGAAGTACATTTATTTCAAAAAGCTTGGAAAACGCTCCCCTTAGAGGAGCTTATACTTAAAATTTGTCTAAGGGCGCCACATGTAAGGCCGGATTTTTCTATTAATGTTTTGTTTAAACAACAAAACGACTCGGCCGAATGTTATGTAATTCTTTTCGTTTCATATAACCGCGATTTTTAGGGTCGGTTCCTATGTATTGGGAAGTTAATAAAATTGTGATTTAATATTTTGAAATTTTTGATTTTCATGAAAATTACTCTTTATCATACTGGGAAGTTATTCATGTGGACCTTAAGGGTCGCACCAGTGACGCGACACACAGACCCACCCCACAGCTTGTGTTATCATTATTTCATTTTGGAAATATTGCTTTACGTTTGCTTATGAATGAATAATCTAGAAATATACATGTAGATTTATAATTATATGTATGTAAATGTAATTAACTGGTAAATGTCTTAAATATTACAAAAACACGCTGATTATAACCTCTTAATTTATGACATTGTTTTTATTAATTACTAATAGTGGTCAATGTTAATATGCAAGATCAACTTGAAATAACTTTTCGATTTTGAACCACTACTAATTTCCTCAAATTAATGAGAAAAATATTTTTGTTGCTGTTGT